CCCCCCGCCAGTCCCCACAGCCCTGCCCTTTGGTTCCCTATATCCCTGCTGCATTGCCCTGTCGGCTGTGGCAGAACAGCCGTTGCACGTGGCCAAGCTGCGAGCTCAGCTCTAAGAAGTGACACAGCCGAAGCGCCTGTTAAAGCCTAGTCAGGTTTGGAGCAAGTTGCTGACACAACTTACTCATAAATAAGGAAGTCAGCAAGAATACATTAAAATTGTAATGCTGCTCAAACGTATCTTTTAAAATCATCGCTACAGTGGGTGTACTTATTTCCACACCCCACCCCCACAAACAGAATAGGCAAATGCTATTCTCTGAGCATCCGAAGGTTGGGAAACAAGTTTTTAAGGGTGCCAAGCCCTTCCCAGCATCACACTGTGATTAGTCTGAAAGCGTGCTTCAGACAGCACAACTTTTAAACCACCGTCACACAAAATAGCTATTATGTTCAACATCTCTGTGGACGCTCTGCCCAGCATTCATGAGCAGTGACATGTGTAACTCTGGTAGGGGTTGCACATCAGTTGGCAAAGCCCTCAAGACCTGTTAAAAGAACCCCACAAGGGTATACAAATGAGGAAAAAACCCTTAAGAATTAATCACATAGGTGAGTAATCTGGACTTGCTGTATCAGATAACAGCCACAGGTTCCTGATGTCAAGAATCAGGTTCAATGCCCCCTCCACCCTCCCAAAAACAGAGCTCACACAGTTCTAAATTTTGGGGGTGTTTTGTTTTGGTTTTTTTTAAATAAAAGACAGCTTCCAGATACCTAATCATTACTGTGCTGTTTGTGCAGGACAAACAAACTTTGAATACTAAAATGCACAAGGCAAGTCAAAACAAGCTGTTTGGTTCAAGCTGCTCAGCAGTGCAGGCTCAAGCACTTATTTGCAATGGCTTTACTCTTTGTACAATCAGTTCTATGTAGCAATAACTGTATATAAAGAATATAGTACACACTATTGTTTTCATTGTCAATTTACAAGAGAAAAAAATAAATATTTTCCATTCTTATTATACATTAACACTTCAGTAGAAAGTTACAGCTGTTGTGTTGGCATAACCTGCAACTTCAGGAGGAAAAAGGACATGCATACCTATCTATTAAGAACTCTAAACTATGACTTTGTAATAAATTACAGAGGATAGACACCAGCTAACAGAATACCGATTATCTGAATTCAGTATATTTGCGATTCTTGCTCTGAGGAAAAAAAAAAAAAATCTTGCAAAATACAAAAGCTAGTAGCTTGTATTATGTAAATGAGACAAACCATGTATGGGATAGCCTTTTCTTCAAATGTTTGTGAATAATAGACTTGTGGTTTTAGGCAAAGAAGATTAAGTAGCTGAGTTAGTCCTTGCACCCTTCACACATAACTAGCACCGTAAAGATGCAAGGACCTCAGCAAACACCTAAATTTCATGCTTCATAACTAAAGCATGCATTTTGTAGAGTTTGTGCATGTTACATATTCTGTTTATTAAGGTTACTGTGCAAAAAAGATTCTCAACCACTGAAGGCGTTTCTGTAATTCTGTTAAAATTATTTGCAACATTTCTAAACGTTAGCAGGCCTGTGTGAGATTAATGAAAAAAATAATCATACTTGTGGTTCACCCTTGACTGCTATACACAGACACTGTACCAATGAATTGGCAAATCAGAGTAATGGTAGCAGCCTAAGTGTCCAATGAAGTGGGGAAAAAATGAGTTAATATGCATTGCAGGTTACTTAAAAATATATAGGTATTATAAAATGGCACAAAGCTTTATACAGGTGGATCTATCAGTGCAAATACATATACATGAGGTACCAATTTATTCAGGCCAGATCTAATTACATGTATCTTACAATCACTCTCAATTTCCTGTTGTCAGATACAGGCTGACAAGCCATAGCATTGAAGTAAAATCAAAGTCAAAACAATTTTTCAGCATATTCAATACCAGATCATTGTAATTTCCCTACAATTTAGTTTCTGAGCTTCCACTCCTCAGACTGCTTAATATTTTTTTTATATTTTTAAAAACACACTTAGTGTTAATACTTAATTTTCTTTTTCAAGGTTTGAGACTTGGATTACAGGAAAAAGTTAAAACTGTGTATGTAAACTGGAACAATAACTATAGCTGGCTGAATATTTTAACATTGTTTGAAATTTTAACAAGTACTGTCAGGAAGGAGGAACACAGTTATTGCTATTTGGGGACTTAAAAATAAAACAAACAAACCTGAAGGCATAGACAGCACTGTTCCAATGGTGAAAGTTAAATAGATACAAAACGGCATTCTGCCTAGAATCAGTCCTTTTGCATTTGAACACTCTTCAAGTTATCTACAGCGTTCTCTTCCAGGCAACTATGATGACATTTACATGGAGATATGGATTTGAAGTGGCTAACCGTGGGACACACGCAGCTTTTCAACTCTGGTAATTCTTTCTTGAGACGTTCCAGCTGCTCCACCTGGAATATATTTGGTTGTTCAGGATTTGAGTCATATATCCTGAATAAAAGAGAAAAGAAAACACACTGATCAGTATAATCTGACAGTTCACAGAAATGTAGACTAGATGAAGCAACTGGGTTTTTTTCCCTAGTAGAGTAAAGTTAGATTTTCAGCAAGTCTATAAAAACAGTATGTTTGAGGTTAGTACCCTAAGTTTTGCTGCTTGTCTTGCAATATAAAATGGTATTCCTTTTACACAATGGTTAATATTTCACTGGCTATACTAAAAAGCTACCCACTAGCATTTACCTCACTTACTCTCCTGAAAAATGTGATTTTACAGGTGACACAAAACAGTGAAGAGCAGAGTTCCAGGCTTCAAACTTAAAAGTGTAAGATGTTTCAAAGCCCTGAGATTATTTGAACAGACTGTGATACACTACTTTTACATAATACTGAATGGAGTTCATACTTGCGTTTCAAGAAGTATTTCACCACCACCCCAATTCAGAACCATTTTTTAAAATTACCATTACATTATTAGGTGAAGAGTGAAAAACAGAAAATCTCATCTCTATTTACACCTAATGCAAATTTAACTATCTCTTTTCACTTTCTTGTTTTCACACATGTAAACAAAGCTGCAGGATTTGAATTGTCAACGTTGTACCAGACTGTCCAAATCCAAAACACATTTTGAGTTTGACAGTGTAGGCACTGAGTATAACTCAAATACTATTTTGGTGTAATTCGTTATAAAGCAAAAGCATTCATGTTCCTGTAACCTAACTTTGGTACAACACTTACTGTGACAAGGATACATTCTGATCTCCCAACATTAATTTCTAACATCAGTATGCTATTTATATCCAAAATTTAAATCCTGGCATCCAGTTCCCCTCACTTGTAGCTACTGCGCATATACAGTTTCAGATACTGCAGGTCTCCAGCTTTATCTCCTTCCAATGAAAACTTCTGAAAGAAATTACCATGGCTTCTGCCTTAAGTCTCTCATGAATATTCATACTTTCATTTATGATTCCTTCAAAAAAGTGGTTTGTTTTTATTGTATCATCCTTTCTCTTTCATACCATAATTTCAAGGTATGTCCAAAAGGAACATGATGTCACAACCAAAACAATAGAGTGCTATATGATACAGTGCCAGGAGCCTTTTTACCCCCACAAGACAACTTGTGCACTGTTCGCAAGTCCAAGACATCAAAAATAATATGCAGCTCAAACAGTGATATAGTAAATGGGATTCAAATGAGGAAACACTTCTGCAGGAAATATAGATGTGGATCACATTACCTACAGTAAGATCAAAGATAGTTTCTTTACAGAAACTCCTAGAAGTGAGGACAAATGCTGTCCAGTCTTATGGAATACACACGGAAGGCACAGCAGTTAAATTACTTGCACAGAACCTATAATCCAATACAGGCCTAAGATACGACCTAAAATTGCCTAATAGAAGCTATCTGCAAAATAAAAGCCCAACCTTCCTTCCTTCCAGGATGCAGATATGACCTGTGCTTTCTTCAGTTAAGTTAGCTTACACATTATAAATTTCTCTATGCATTCAAGAAAAAGCACTGAAATTAGGAGATAATTTTCTATATAGCAATACACCTTAGGAGTTTTCTATATAGCAATACACCTTAGGAACTGCGAATCTCAAGTCCTTCCCATCAGTCAGACACTAGAAGAGCAAACAAGGGCATGTTTCTAAGCCCTTGTTCATAGAACGTGGCTAAGCATGTTTCTAAGCAGCTTCTGGCAAGTATTTTATTAGTTCTTTACTAGGGCAAGCATAAATTCTGTAATTCTTGCTTCGTATTCAACTCTCTTCAACTGAGATTTTGGATGAGTCCAACCCTCCAAGCTCCCTTCAGACTGGCTACTGGAACCAGCCCGCTCCAATGTGTATGTATATAGTATTTCTTCTAAACCAAAAGCAGAGAAGACAATTTGAAGCACAGCTACCCTTGTACCTCAGAATTTCTTGTCCCCACTTTTCGTTTGGGTCCATGAAACTACACCATCAGTTGGCAAAAACAGAACATAGCTCCAGGATTTCTCTTATGAATTATTTCCAGTATCACCATCAAAATAAGGAATAAACTCTCATCTCCCTATCCTTCAGTCTTCACCAGGACAATTATTTATTAAGTAACTATGCACCAAAGTCCTTCCATTCGACTTCTATTAATAAGCAAGCCCTGCAGAAGACTGGGAAGTCCTTCAAATATTACTTTTTTAAATTAGCGCTTTCTACAAAAAGCTTTGCAGGACATTCCAGGGTTATGCAGTGGGCATAGAACTGATTTGCTTAGCTCCTACCAGGTGTTTTTGCAACCTCTGAAGACACATACATCCAGCAAGTCTCAGTCACAGCTGTTTTTCTTTGCTATTGCTTGGTCCAAAAATGAAGAGTCAGCAGCACTGAAATACTGTTTTCATGCTAAGAAGGTTTTCTGAAGCTTTTGATTAAAACTTTTCATTTTTCTTTACCTCTCAAGGTAAACTTGAGTTTACTTTGCAATTCACAAAACAGGAAAGACTTAGACTGCCGTTGCATAACATCCTAATTCAATCATTGAGTAGATTAAATTATAGATCAACTAATACTAGTTAACTTCCTACATATATCCATGCTGTTATTTATTTAAGCAACATTCAGTTTCGGGCAAATACAATGGCACAGGTTTAGACAGTCTTCTAGTTTTAAGAAGTGTTTTGAATGCTTTTGCCTTTATTGCCAACTAAATTTGTGTTAGTTTTGGAAAGTTACTAATACTAATAGGAGTACAGAGCTTTTGTCTGGAGTCTGCAAATGCAACATGCAGCCATAAGGAACCGTAGTGTTTAGAGAGGAGACAAACACATTGAAGATTCTCATGGAAAAGCTTTCAGCATAAATGTTTGAGGATTACTGGTTTAATATTCTCATGCAGCTATGTGTATTATTCAACAAACAGAACTCAGATCATGTAAAGTGAATTAAAAAAAAAGGCAATGCAAGTGTAAGCTAGCACCCACCCCCTCTCCACGTTGGTATTTTAATATATTGGTATTTTAATATAAATATATATATTTAATATATATTTTAATATATAACTGGTATAAAAACATAAGACTGCATTGTTCTTACTGAGTTAAGTATATTCAAACACAAAAATATTTCCTGGACTGTTTACAAAGCTTATTCAGGAGAAAAATACCAGATAAATCATCCCACAAATCCTGCTTTAAAATTCTTAATTTTGGCCAATCCAGAAAATTTCACTACAATAGGTTAAAGTTTTTTCTTTAAATAAAATCTAAATCAAACTAACAAAGCATTTTAAGCGTAAGATTTGATTTTCTGTGTGAACAGAAGATATTCAGTCATGCATTTAAAGTACTTTTCTAGATTAGGGCCCAAATAGAAGCTTGGAGGCACCTTTTCTGTAGGTTGCCCTTTTAACACAAGTAGTTTGGATATCTTAGGTGCTGAGATGAATGCTAGTTGAACATAGGAAAAAAAAAAGTAGAACATTGTCCCGGCAACTGCACTAGACCATCCGTTTGGTTTAATGACTTTAAGTATGTCTAATAATCTGCAGCCCAAGTGGAGAAAGGACTGGATGGGGAAAAGAAAAAAAAAATTATTTCCCCTGCCCCAGTGAGATCGTTCTTTTAATAGTGTTGGCATTTGTAAGCTTCCTAGATTTAGTCTTGCAGTTTTTCTCCATGCAAAACAAAGTCAGACCCCCCCTACCTGCATTTTTTTTTTTTGCCCGACACTTGGTATCAGCAACTTTTGGTATTCAGGACACAGTTTTTCTGCCATCTTCGCAAGTGGCTACAATGTTTTGCTCAACTCTACATGGATGATTAAAGTTCAGAAAAAATAGCTTATAGAAATCATTTCTACCCAGACAGTTCATAATCATTGACATAATTACCGCATGCAATAACAATAACTCAGGGCCATATCCAAGCAACCTAAAATTCACTAAAATTCCTGTATTCACTTCCTAGCTTATTCAGACAAATAACACTAAGATGGTTTAAGTAAAGGTCTAGTAAACAGCAGCACAAAACACCAGGCACAGCGATTTTTGATAAATATCTGGACTTGGCCTTAAGTGCAGAGAACAAAAATTCTGCCGAAGCCATGGAAGAAGCACGTCTTCCATGTTCATGGATTCACTCCTGGAAATATTCTGGAATTTGAAGATACAACCATAGCGTAAACTGGCTTTAAGCTAATAGATTACTGCAGTCCCTACTTATTTCTAGAGCTTGAAACAGGCATGTACATCTCTCTCTCTACTTGAGTTCTGCTTCACAGTAGTTTTGAATTTATCTATTTCTAAACTTCAAACAGCACAGAATATGGATGCTTATACCATACCTATTTAAACTTTTGACAATTTAAACTCTTGATATTCACTTCATACTCTCAAATGATTTGAAAGACTGCCTCTCTACCCAGCAGCTCCAACTGTGAATGGAAACACTTGCTGCCAGGTTTTACATTTAGACATGCCATACAGGACTTGCAGGTACCACCCGCATTTCAAAATGTCCAGCCTGAGATATCTGATGCAATTTTCAGAACTGTCGTGTTCCTTCTAAGGAACCTAGATTAAGATTAAAGTTAATTCTATTCAGACAATTAGTAAATTTTGAAAAATAATTAAGAATTGTAAAGGAACATTCCAATATTTGTTTTGGCCTACGGAAAAAAAGGTCAATAATGTTTAGAAATTAGACTTAACGAGCCTGCAACAATTACACTGAAATGAGATAGTTGTTTGCTACTCAATTGCAGTTTGTAACTTGAAAAAGAAAGAAAAAAATGCACCACTGAACTACTGTTTTTTAAACAGCTTTGGAGTTAGTATTAATTTTGGGGTTCCTCTGAATAAAGTGGAAAGATGTCAACGAGGTGGAAGAGATACAGGGGGCAGACAGTGAGAGGAGAGATGAATACTATTAAGAATCTAGATGGTCTAAATAGTGCAGGATGGTTAAGAATTTTTTGTTCAGTTAAATCCATAAGGGAATTCAGCCTATAAGCAATTCCACTGAATTGGTTAGTCATCAAAAGGTGAGGTAAAAGGTGTTCTGCTATCATACTGCAACTTAAAACACACTAAACAGTACAAAACAGAACATAAGATGATATGTAGCAGACTTGCAGCCTTGACATAAATACAACATTATTTAAGTAGTGTTGAGCAATTAAGTATCTAAAGTAATAAAAGCCACATGAAGTCAGAAATAAGGCTGTCACCCATTTTACTATTTTACCATAGTAGTGCATATCTATTACATCAAGTGTAATTAAGAACTCTAGAAGACTGGATTAGCAGACATCAGATGAACAGACATTTCATAAGAACACTTTATGCAGCAGTATTTGATTAAAATACCCCACCTGTCTATAGACCAATAATTTATCACTTCAAGTTATACATACCATAGAATCAAATTTCATAGCAACCCTACGACCGTATACTAAAGCGGCAGAGTACCATTTTGTCTGCATACTAGTCCAGAGATATTTTTCATCTACTAAAGGGGCCTCAATCTGGAGTTGTAGGAGAGGTACAACATGTAGCACTGCTGTAGCAGGAAAGAGGACTTATGTTTCAATTACCAGTCTGAAGCTGATCCCCAATGTAAAAATCTTGTTAATTCCTTTTTACCACCAATGAAAAGAAGGAGACATACTATACAGTACAAGAAGGGACACCTCCGGCAAACCAGAGGAGCACTGGACACACCACTCTGGAAGGACTCTCCATAGTCAAGAATAGATTGAAGGGAGTTAACTAGTTTTTCACACTGGCAGCCTAGAACTCTAAGAACAAACATATTTGATTTCTTGCCTCTAGATATGTTAACTTGACTCTCAGTTTTCACTTTGTTAAACAGAGTCCTTGACAATTACTTGATTTCCCTCCCCGCCCCCCGGTAAAACAATATGCAAAGCAATGCCCTTGCTAAAGCAAAAGGTTTGAGTGTCTTCTATAATTTGACACTTCAGTAACACTTAATGCTTTCCCAATTACATATTCTTTGCAATCTATCAGAAAGTCTAATTTAATACAGCTTCCCAAATTAATCATCATCTTGTAATAATGAATTTCACATCTTTTATGATAAAAGAGCTAAAACTTTTTAGTTTTGTAAGAAACTAAAATAACACTTTTGTTCAAAGATTTACCACAGTATTCTGATGTCCACCTGAATTGCGTGGATATAACAACTACTTTCTGAAGTGACTAATTTGGTAGTTTGCCCTGTGAGTCACTCCAAGCTAATTTTAATAGGAGAAATGGTGAATTCACAGCTTTGAAACACAACAGAATGTTGGCAAAAAATTAAGTTAAAATCATTCATTTAAGTTGTGTTAACTATTTCCATAACTAAATGTAGAAAGCTGAAGATTTCAGCCAAACGGTTAAATAACATTGTCCTCACCGTGTCATGTACAAAGTTTAAGAATTACTATCAGGAACGTTAATAGCATGTTAAATGTGTATGCCATGCACTAGTTCTTCAGAGAATCTAATTATATTTACATTAACCTCAGAAGAAGCAAAAAGTTATTTTGCTTCATATATACAGCTGAACAAGTAGGAATTAGAGCTAGTCTTGTTTTTGAATTGGGGCTATGTGCTTGTTGTGCTTATAGTACCAAAGGAAGATGTTCTGTACCAATGCAAAATTTCACAAGAAACTGGGATACAATAATTTCTCAGCTTAATTTTTATTACTATTTTTAAAACACAGTGAAGTACCTGTCATATATTAGCCCATGAACACCATATTCTCTCAGCTTCTTCCTGTTATCTGGGTCATTTGCATCATCACCCCATGAGAAAATCACTAGGCCTTTAGATTTGGCCCTTTTAATAAATGATGGATTCCTCAGCAGGTCTTCAGAGTGCACATTAATTCCCTGAAATATAAAACACTTCAATTAAAATCTGTGTTTCTGAAAATCTCTCACCTTAGTTTTTTTTATCCTTTGATACTCACAGCTCCTTACAATTTCATACATAATATTAATAAGAAATAATTTAATACAATTGAAGAGTTTACTGATAGCACTATTTGTTAAACAATGTATTATACAGGCATTGAAACAACAGACATTATTTTGGCAGTTACTAAATATTAGTTTATTTCTTTTGTGATGTTGTTTGTAATTTTAAGCACGTCAAAAATTATGGATTTACAAAAAGTAGTAATAATTTAGTTTCATTTTACTGCAGATTAATACCAGAACTTGTCAGCTTACCAACAAGTTTTCAAACTGTGCAAAAGTAATGGCAATTGGAGTTGTACGAGACCTAAGATCCATAAGTTCTGGATAGAGTTTAGATTCTCCTTGGGTGAGAAATAACACAGGATACTTGTTTTGCTTATGCCGAACCCTGTTATAAAAAAAAAGTTTACAAATAGCAAATGTGTTAAAAAGCAGGGAAATTCAATCTTACTTTTTGAGGAGGATTACACCCTTTACTGCATGTTCTTCTAATTCCTAGCTGGTGCAACAAGATGGTACTACAGTTTAGTATGAAACTATGTAGACAAACTGTTCTGTCTGTTACTTTTACCACTAATTAGAGATTAATATACACAATTTAAGGGAAGCTAGACTTTAAGTTGAACTGAGATCCACATCCTCAAAAATATTTATACAAAATCCTTGAAGACTGTCCAATTCTGTAATTTTCTTCTTAAATGCACATTAGAGTAAAGTGAACATTCACGGTAAAAGTTTATAAACATGTTTAATATACAATACCTAACCTTACTAATGTTTTTCAAGTCTGATACCAGAAAGATGGTATGAAATGACAACAGATGGAAGCAAAGTTTTGGGATTAGCATGTCATGCATTCTTACACACTTGTTCCTTAGCCCTTTTATCAGTACCTTGATTTGGTTTTGTCCTGCCCATTTACCCTTCAGTGGTATTTCATCAGTGCAGTCTCTCATCAAACGAGATTTCCATAAAGCCTTTCATTAACAGTGCTAAATCACTTCTTGTTATGAAGTACTACAGCATATTGTTAGTTCATATGCATCCCAACTGTTCCCCAGTTCAACTCCTATGGTTTTTCTGTGCTTCAATATGACATTCCATAAAAGAAAGACAAACTGCTTAACAAAAACACACAGGTAGTTCAAAGCTATTTCATTTTCTGTCCTTTTGAAAAGGCAGATATAGAGAAAAATTGTAATAAAATTAATTTTGTTTCTAAATTAGGCTTGCATACCCCTTAAATATGACTGAAAGAGACTTTGTGATACCAGAAGAAATCTTGACCTTTTTTGTTGTATCAAGAAAGACTGAAGCATTCAGGAAGGCACTTGACAAAAATACCTACTTTGACTTTGTTCTCCTATTTTATTTTTGCACAGCTCAGATAGCAAAGTGGTCTAATTTCTCGTTTCAATTCCCAACTATTTTGGCACCCAAAGTTTAGGTCTAATCAAAACGTGTGTTATGTTGGGTATTCTTATGTCCAAAGTAAATTTTACCAAAGAAAAAAAAAAGAAAAAAAGAAGAAAATACATTGTGTATCTCTTCTTAACTTACATTGTACAAATATCTGCATTAAAAGAAGAAAATACAATCCTTCTTCTTCCAGCATTCATCAAAACAGTTTTTAGAATAATATCTAGAAAGAGGTTCATATCAAAGTAAGTTGACAAGTTGCCATCCCACTGTCCATCCTATAAAAATAAAAGACAAGTTTCAGTCATTTAAATTAATGCTTACTAAAATTATTTTAACAAGCAGTGGTGTCTCCCTGAGCAAAATGAGAATTCAGTTTACAAGTCTGAATACAGAAGTCACTCCTTCAGTCTACTGAATGCTAGTTACAGCTCTACAGGACTGTCAGTCTGTGAGGTGCAGCTGAATTCTAACAGCAATAAGATTCACTGAAAAATTCACCACCTTCCCATCCAAGGAGAGAGTTTCTATGAAGCTGTCCTGGTTTTGGCTGGGATAGAGTTAATTTTCTTCCTAGTAGCTGGTACAGTGCTATGTTTTGGATTTAGTATGAAAGTAATGTTGATAACACACCAATGTTTTAGTTGTTGCTAAGTAGTGCTTACACTAGTCAAGGACTTTTCAGCTTCCCATGCTCTACCCACCGAGAAGGCTGGAGGTGCACAAGAAGCTGGGAGGGGGCACAGCCAGGGATTTAGTATAAAGTAATGTTGATAACACACCAATGTTTTAGTTGTTGCTAAGTAGTGCTTACACTAG